TGCCCTCGGTCTCGATGAACTTGGTAACTGACATGCGCTCATCCTCTCGTTTCTTGGACGTGTGTTCGCTCAAAGTTTTTTTCGCCATCTTCGCCAGGTGCTCTCCATCCTGCCACGAACGGCTCCTGGCGACAACGGAGTCCGCAATGGCCAGCGATGCATCCCTCTGAAGTTCATCACGTTGTATGTCACGCAGTAAGGCTTCGCACATATCATGCTTCTGTGATCTAGCTGCCGCCCTCTCCACATCCCTGACAGTGGGCCCGAAGCTTCGGCCGTTGGGAGTCTCGGAATGCTTCTGCGTGCCCTCTGCGCCGAGCCTCCTGAAGTACTCGCGTTCCTCGTCGGTGATGGCCCTGTACTGGGCGGCAAGCGCATGGAAGTCCCTGACCTGGCCACGGCCTGTGGAAGAAGTGCAAGCCCGCCATGCCCCACCACCTCCACGACGACGACCAGGCTCTGCAACAACTCGAGAGGCTTCGTGAAGAGGCACGTTTGGCATGTAGATCTCACGCTGGATCGGTAGCGCCCTCTCTCGCCTCCGAAGTCGTTTCAACAAGAAATCGCTGGATGTATCTAGGAAGCTCGCCATGTCAGTCACCGATCTTGACCTGAGAATCTGCCGTATAGAAGCGTGGAGCGCCTCGATCCTCACGATGCTTGGGACGTGCAGTAAAGCCAAGAGCACCAGCCGAGCCCTTGTACTCGGAGACTTCAAATCTGGATTCGCATTCCGAAACTCTCTCCAGAAAGGGTCCGCGATGCAGTCGGGCTCGTGGATCATCTCGTCTGCTATGGTTGGATCGCTTATGAGCAAGAACGCGCGATAGGGGTAACGCCTGTGCAGAGCAGCAATCTCGCACTCGGCCTTGGCACCAGCTCGAGACATGGTCTTGAATACATACGCATTGATCAACTCAGTGCAGTGCTTACCCTCAATGGTTCGCCACATGATCGATGAATTGCACAGGAACTTCAGCTTATTGAAGAAAGTCTGTTCCACAGACCCCTCGGCACACACAACGATACGATATGTCCTCCGAGCTTGAGCAGCCTCCGCACCAACTCCGAGGCGAAGCGCCTCAGCTTCAACCGCTCTCTGGCGTTCCTCCCAAGCATCACCGCCGAGGAAATCGAACTCCCTGAACATCTCCATGATTGGGACCATGACGATCCGCATGACGTCCAAGTGATGCAGAAACTCGGTATTCGCGAAGACCATAGCACGCCTTCGATGTTCAGAGTTTACACGCTCCTGGGCTTCGTGGGCGTTCACCTCCACCACCACGCGTTCGGCATCGTCTGGACGTTGTGGCTGCGCATCCTCGTGGCCGAGGGGCGGGCCACCGTCGCCAGCACCATCTGCGCCAGGATCAGCAAAGGCACCCCCTGGGGCGTCGCAAAGGGCAAGAACTGGCTGATCTCCAGGGACTCCAGGGGCAGCGAACGGACCTGCAGAAGCAGCTGCGGTCCGCTTCCTCTTCTGGTCGCCGTCCACTTCCGATACCCACCTCCTGAACGTGCTCGAGAAAAGGCCGTGGCAATGCTCCAGCAATCCGATTTGGTCGAGACTGACCTCTTTGCCGAACCACCTGTTCCGAGAGAACTTCTTGAACGTGGGTGGGCACACCGCGAAGCACAAGCCAGCGACAATGCGATCAGTCCAGAGCTTCGCTTGGGCATCATCCCGCGGCAACGCAGGCGCGTAGATGACGATGCGAGCCTTGTCCGTCCAATCGCCGTTGGGTAACATTCTCAACACCACAAGTCGTTGAACTAGGTTGTGGCCAGACCTCCCGTACATAGCTACAACGCGTCGCACATGCAAGCCGTATTCCGTTGGAGGCTCCCCAGTAGTGAATTGCACCATCGAACGAATCTGCAACTTCAAGCATCTTCTGAAATGGCTCATGGACCCCGCCATCTGCGTAGCCAGCGCGGTCCTGATCATGCCCGTGACGAGCCATTCACACGCCGAACACGCCTTGCCAAACACGAGCGCTGTGAGATGGGCGCGGCAGTCCAAGTGCAAGTGTTGCCAGCCAGGATTGTCACATCGAATTCCACGCTCGGCGGCTCCATTCGCGGCCCCTCGGTCCGTGACAGATCCGCGGGTACGCTGACCGTACTCCGTGCACATGTGAGATGTCGTCCAGATCTGCCTGAGCCCTTGGCGAGTTGTCTCCCCAGTTACTCGGTCGAACACTTGGAGATTTGACAGTGCTTTCCCCGTGAACATGATGAATCGAACGGCCCCCTGGCCCTCGATCGATGCCAATGCTCCCCAACCACTTTCGACTTGGAACAGCTTCGCGGGGCCAGACTCCGAGAACCGAATGACGCCATCGTTCCAGTTCCACAAGGATGACTGCTGAAAACCACGAAACATTTCCTCATTTTGAAGTTCCTCGATCCTGTCCCTCAACCGCACTGGCATCGGAGTCTCGTCGTACATGTCGACTTCGCACAAGTGTAATTCTGAAAACTGTGGTGAACGAATCAGTGCCCGATCGAAGCTAAGCCTACTCGAAACATCTAGATCCCAACAAATCTGCGCAAGAAGAGTCCTGTGCCTGGATGCCGTAACAGGGTGCATGGACGAGTCGTGGGCCAGAACTTCTAAATGCCTCTGGGCGGTACTTATATCATATCTCAGAAGGTTTCTCGCAAGGTGCGCAGACTTCGGATCCAGACGCGTCCCAGGTGTCAACGCAAGACCGACAAACTGCTCCAAGTGTTGGCACACGGGGCTGGGGAGAAACTCGATGTAGCGGATTCGTGACATGGTTTCCAAATCATATGGCACATCTGGGACATCTGCTGGCACTTGTACGACGTCGGCGTAATGCATGACCAGCTGTGCTGGGTCGTCCTGAGAGACTGGCTGCTGCGCTGCAAGGCTAGACCTGGTGGTTTGGAGAGGCCTTCTTGGCGGTCGGCCACGAGTATCCCGCGCGGCTGACACCATCGGCCTGGCATGTGTAAGGTCTGCCAACTCGAGATCCAGTGGGCGAGGATTGCGAGCATCTCGGGGCGGCTCCGACTCCGCTGGCGCCGTGCCGAGTTCATCTTGAATGAAATCGTCCAGTTCACCATGCATCAAATCGTCCAGTTCATCCTGAATCAAATCGTCCAGTTCACCACGAGAAAAGTCCAATTCATCCTCAATCAAATCATCAAGTTCGTTCATCGAACATCATCTTCCTGAGATGAACGGGCTGGACCCAAAGGGCTGCGGCACACACACACACACACACACACGCACACGTTTCTGGGATATCATTTGGGGCAAGTATCTTACTTTGGGGGGCCTTGAGCGTGACTGTTATCTTTTGGGGGCTTTTCGAGATCTCAGACAGATGGCCTTCCCATTGCGCCCAATACCTGAGTTATCTCACATGTGTTGTGGGTTGTTGACGTCGCGACCTGCTTCAAGTCAATCGGACCACCCTCACCTATCTACAAGCAAAACGATACATCAGATTGATTTCAACGGCATTAGGCCAATCATTTTTTGACTCAACCCTCGGACCAAAAAAACAGCGGTTCTTCGCCCGTGAAAAAAACGACTCCCGAGCAATCCCCAGAGCAAAAAAACAGTGGTTGCATGACCTCCACCCCAAAGCTCCTGAAGGGCATTTTCATTTAAATCCCCTGTAAGGGGACAGGCAGACTACAGCGCGAGTCGCGCATCGCGGGGCGCGTCGCGCGAGGTTAAATAGATGACCTAGATTTGTTGTTCCAGACGCGCTGCTTTTCAATCCAGGCGGTTTCCTTCGATTTCGGCCTCCGGGGGGCTGGTCTGGGGCCGCGGGGCCAACCACAAATCATGCGAGGTGAGAAATTGCCCCTGCCAGGGAAGGGGCTGGAAGTCCTGGACCCACGGACCGAAAAAGATCACGGGTCTGCCTGTTTCTGAGAGGCAGCGAGTACAGTCGGCCCGGATTCGTAGACCGACCCTGCCAGCTCAAGGGTACCCTTTTTGTCCAGTGCCTCGCGACACGTGCCTTCTTACATTCCTATGGCGATATGGCCCTCGGAAGGGTTTTGTGCCCTCTCGCGTGTCCCGTCCAATCAAGGCCGACTGCATATAATCCAGATGCAGAGCCTGACACATCATCGTTACGTGTGCTTAGGTCTGCGTGTGTGTTTGCATGAGGGCATCTGTGGCTTGCTTGGCACCCTGCCCCCAGCGGTGCAGGGGGGGACCCTGCCTCTGGGGCAGACGACCTGCGAATGGCCTGGCATCGCTCGGACGCTGCAGTCAGGACCGTTCCGGGCTTCCGGGAGGCGCTCGGGGTTTTCGGGGGCCGTGGTTGCGGTCCGGGTCGGGAGCCCCTTCCGTGGCCGACGCTCGCCGTGGCCAGAGGATCCCCTTCGCGCATCACTCAGTGCTCCCTGTGGTAGACAGACGACACTACACGCCGGTCGTTGAACGTATGTATTTTTGGATTCCCAGATCCCAAGCTACTTCAAGCGCCTTCCTACTCCAAGAATCGGCATGCGTTTGCTGTGTTTTGCTATTCCTCTGGGAGGACCTGGACCCAATCCTCTATATCCGCCTTCCTACTTCATGCTTCTACCTACTTCTTCCGACCGACGTGTACGTTTTACTCCGACCCATCCGCTCGGGGAGACCTCGCACTATTTGGTTGTCCAGGGAGGTGACGTCAAGGAGATGCCCGCGGGGCCACCAGCTGAGGATTTTTTCCGGGTGGGCTCGGTTCTAAAAGGTGGTGCCCAGAGGAAGAGGATCGGGGAGGAAGAGGAGGAGGAGGAGGGCGAGGAGGAGGAGGAGGAGGAAGGGGAGGAGGAGGAGGAGGAGGAGACGAAGGAGAGCCAAGCGAGGAGGAACACCAAGGAGTAGAAGGAGGCGGAAAACAGGAGGATGAGGATGAGGATGTGGAGGAGGAGGAGGAGGAGGAGGAGGAGGAGGAACGTCAGGAAATGGGACGCGTAGCAGGGGTGGCACCCGCATTCGCAACATTCGCCCTCCTCAGGTTCGGGTCCGACGGCTGGCAGGCCTGCTCGGAGAGGAAGGACATCTTCGACAGGCTCACCGCCGCACCCAAACGCGGCCGCACCGAGCGGGAGCGAGGACGGGGCGGGCAGGGAGCGGCCCAAGAGTCGAGGGGAAGTGGCTGGCAGCACGAGATGGGACGTGCGGATGGAACTCCTGGGAGGTCAAATTCTGATTTTGCCCGGGTCCGAAATCCCGCCGAATCCCGCTTAATCCTGCTCAATCCCGGTTACTCTGGCTTGCTCCCGCTGAATCCCGCTTAATGCGGGCTACTCCGAGGCCCACTCTGGCGTAACAGCCCCCCAATGGGGCTTCATCTTTTTAAATCCTTCCGACGACAACCTCCCAGCAGTTGCTTCCTAAGGGACGAGGTAGGACGAGATGCGGGGGGGAGGGCGCGGAAACACATTGGTAGCCACTGGAGCCCCTGCAGGGGGGACAGGGAGAATCCGCCGGCTGCCCCCCACTAGGGGGGGTGTTCCTGATCTTGGTGACAGGGGGGATGACCACTCGGCATCGCTCGGACGCGTGCATGTCTCTCGGCGGTGACCAGTGACGAGCATCCTGGATCACCCTGCGAGGAACATGCAGGAAACAAGCACGAAACAAGCGTTCGGATGCCCGTGGGAGTACGAGACAGCCCCCCAAGACCTCCCGAAGGCCTCCTCTCCCCTCCATTCTTGCGCACCTCTCCCCATTCCTCCCCATCACCCTTGTTTCCGGCCCCTCTTCTCCGCCTCTACAGTCCCGGCGCTGAAGAAGGAACCCTTTTCGTTTTGGAGGGGTTCCGTGTTCCTTAGTTGTTTTGCAATGCTCCTTGGGTTTTTCCTGAGGTTTCAATGGGAAATCGGAGTTGAACTAATGGGAAAAGGGACTTCGTTCCTTATTTATCGTTTCTTAGGTCAAGGCCCCGACTGTACCCTGACTCTCCCTGGCCCTTCACACCATGTTCTCTTCCTTCTCCTCACCCTCCTCCTCCTCCTCCTCCTCCTCTTCCTCCTCCTCCTCCTCCTCCTCCTCCTCCTCTTCCTCCTCTCAGACCTTTCAGACCTGACGGCTTCGGCCCGCTCGAAATCCAACAGCTCCTGGGGATTGAGGTCATGACGTGGGCCGCAATGTCAGTCCAGGGATCTGCCTGAGACGAACCGGCACTGTTCGCAAGGTCCGCATCATTAGGGGCATCGCTGATGGCCCTGCGGGCCTTGAATTTCACGCAGGGCGACCCACGGGTTCTCCCGAACGTGCGTGGCGATTTCACGCCCGAAAGGAGAGCCTGGAAGAGCCTTCCAGGGTTCGGGGAGGGCCCCGGGTCCCGAGGAGCAAAGCAGCACGGTCCATTGGAAACGGCTTCG